AGAAATGCTTCGTTTATTGCAAATCAGTCGTCAAGCTTTGGGTCAGTCATGCGGTAATCCAGAGCTTTTGCTTTATATGGCTTGGTGGCGCAGTGGTTAGAATGCAGTACTGCAGGCTAATTCTGCTGACTGCCAACTGCCAGCAGTTCGGTAGTTCGATTCTCGCTGGCTCAAGGTTGACTCAGCCTTCCATCCTTCCAAGGTCAGTAAAATGAGGAGCCAGATTGTTGGGGGCAATAGGCTGACTCTGTAAACCGCTTAGAGAGGGCTGTAAAGCACTGTGAAGCGGTATATAAGCCTAGGTGCTATTGCTATATGCTGGCATAGTACAGTATAACCATGAAGAAACCAGCAGAGTATCTTCATGGGATTTCATTGGATAATATAATTGTCCCCAAAGGGAAGACTGCCTTAAACCGAAAGTGATAAACATCCTAAATTGAAATAGCCAATGATGGGGAATGCTGCAGATTGTAATTCAGCAACGCTTTGAGAACCACAAGTTCTACTTCTCTGCTTTAAATTCTCTGTAACGTAACCTGATATAGTTACTAAAAATGGATTATTTTTATAAAGTAGGAATGATATCAAGAAGCTCAGAAAGACATGCACGTGCTCTATGTTCAGATTTGCATTAGATAATTCAAATCTAATGTTTTTGATGTTCCTCTTTTTTATTTTTTTTTGTAAAATTTGCCCTGGAATTAAGCTGTGAGATGATCGGAGATATCAAGTATGATATGCAGGGGAAGATAAGAGAAGTTTTATGTTTTCTTTTATTATTTTCTTTCTAACTATAGGTGATATACAAAGATGATTTGACATGGCTAAAGGGAATTGGATGTTACGTGTGGGACACTCCTCAAATCCTGCATGCCAAGAAGTCTTACGACCTTCAGAGCCAAGTAAGAAGAAGCATGAACTACATTTGGGGGGCATATAATAATAATAATGATAAACTTGGAAGGTACCTTGGAGATCATCTAGTCCAACCCCCTGCTCAGGCAGGAAACCCTATACCATTTTGGACAAATGGCTGTCCAGTTTCTTCTTAAAAACTTCCAGTGTTGGTGCATTCACCACTGGTTAATTGTTCTAACTATCAGGAAGTTTCTCCTTAGTTCTAGGTTGCTTCTCTCCTTGATTAGTTTCCACCCGTTGCTTCTTGTCCTGCCTTCAGGAGCCTTGGAAAATAGCTTGACTCCCTCTTATTTGTGGCAGCCCCTGAGATATTGGAACACTGCTATCATGTCCCCCCTCGTCCTTCTCTTCATTAAACTAGACATACCCAATTCCAGCAGCCATTCATTATATGTTTTAATTTAATCAGTTCAGGCATACACCAGGACTCATCCATAGATCCACTGAGGAATATTAGATAGCACCATTAGGTTTAATGCAGGAAAGGTGTCTTTGGGGATACAGATAAGCTCCCAAGTGGCCACAATGACTCTCAGAGAGCTAATGCCCAGATGACTGCAAAGAATATAAATCCTTCTATTTCCCCACTATTCAGTTAGAACCGAAGAAGGTTCTTGGATGAGAAGCGAAATATTTTCAAGGAAAAAAAAACCAAGAAAGTCCAGTTGCCTTTTGGAAAAGCACTTCTGGGATGATCTGAATGACATGCCTGATTCACTTCATTTAATATTTTGTATGAATCAGGACAGAATGATTTGCTGGTACTTGAGCAGAGCCTAGATAAGGCATCTTTATTTGTAGAATTACTTTCCTTTATGAAGAAAAAAATACACGCATAAATAAATGCGAGGATGGTGTCTCAGTTTCGGGGAACGGAGCAAACCTTTCTATTTTACACCAAAAAGGATTTTAGTAGAAATATAGCTCTGCAATATTTTTTTTAAAGTTATCAACTGCTGTATATTACAGAGACTCATAGTACATGGACTTTAAAAATATAATCTCATGGGTTGTGCCCATGGTTACTAAAGAACTAAGCCTTACTGCTTTTTTTGCCTTGATTTTACAGCTGATATACACAAAACCAGGGAAGGACAATCTACCAAACTATGGTGTGGTTATGGACACTCCAGTTTATGTAACTGCTGTTCAGAGTGGTATCAATGCTAGTGAGGTGAGCCATTCTCCGTCGTTGCTCAGATTTATTCCTTATTATTTTCTTTTTTCTGTAATTTGTACGAAGAGATTGAATGACTGTCACTCACTTTTATTACAGCTGAAATATAAAGAACAATACCATAAAACAAAGGACAAATATACCACAGTATTGAAAACAGCAGATCACGATAGGATCCAGAACCTCAAGCATCTCTTCAGTGATGTGAGTATTTTTCTTTTTAATGCTATTCTGGAGTTATGATAGTGTAGTATAGACGGTATTTCAAACAGCATGCATGAATACAAAATGTTTCAAGTTCTGCCAAGTCCAGAAGCCTCTTGAAATTACTTTTTTGCTCACACTTAAGGAAAACAAATTTTGGCTCACTGTTGCTCTGGTAGCTTCTTATACCAATATATAACAGCTGAAGTCAGAATGTGAGGATTACTTAGTAATGACTTCTCTTCCTGCTTAGGCTGGCTTTATCTAGGATGGATCACAGATGGGAGTTGGGGTGGTATTCATGTCATTTCCAACCAGCTCAAGAAGACTAAGAGGAGATAAAGTTATAATATATGTGAAGGAATATGTAGTTCTGGGTTACATCCCGTTTAAGATTGATATGCAGTTGTATGTTGCTGAAATATGGTTAATCACTAACAACTTTTGCTACGTGCCATCATGGGCAAGAATGCGAAAGAAGACCCAAACTTTTCTTCTATACAAAAAGCAAAAGGTTTTCTATCCTGTGCTACCTTTTACAAGTATTCCTTGACTTATGACCACAGTTGAGCCAGTTGGTAAGCAAGACAGTCGTTAAGTGAGTTTTGCCCCATTTTACGACCTTTCACGCCACAGTTGTTAAGCCAATCACTGCAGTTGTTAAGTTAGTAACTGGGTTGTTAAGTGAACCTGGCTTCCCCTTTGACATTGCTTGTGTGAAGGTCGCAAAAGGTGATCCACATGACACCCCCCCCCGGGGACACTGCGACTGTCATAAATACAGGCCAGTTGCCAATTGTTCAATTTGGATCATGCAACCATGGGGGATGCTGCAATGGTTGTAAGTGTGAAAAATGGTCATGTCGCTTTTTTCAGTGCCATTGTAACTTTAAATGGTCACTAATCCAATGGTGGTTGTAAGTTGGTTTATTCGTGTCAGAAGCATCACAGTTAAAATAAGGCATACTATACAACATAAAATTTAAAATATAAATATGGTTGTAAGTTGAGGACTACCTGTTCTACACTGCTGTTTCATAGATTTTGTCTCGAATATTGATGTAACTGTTTCTCCTTTCTTCAGAATGTATACAAGAAAATGTGGGAGAAAATCAAGTCCCTCACTTACAAATTGCCTCCCGATGCTGTGCCTTTTGTTCGTGCTAGGCAGCTGAAATATAATGCCAGTATTGTAAGTATACCTAACAATGCATTTAGGTAAATCTGCTTTAGAAATAAGACATTGTTCCCACGTGGCTTATTTTTCTTTTCTTTGCCACTAGGTGAAATATCGGGAAGAGTATGATAAATTTAAAGCACTCTACACCATTCCTAGAGGTGTTCAGGATGATCCCAACACTGCAAGATGCTTAAGAGTTGGCAAGCTGAACATTGATGTAAGATATTAAAAAAACTATATTAAACATTTCCAAGTGGTGAGGAGTCAAGCATAAAATTTACAAGCCTTAATTCCTTTGGATGAGATCATACGAGAGACTTACATTACCAAGATCTTACTTCAAACAATAGATTAGGACAGATAAAATCATAGGTTTTGCTTCATTCACAAATAGAAAAACTGTATGAATTCCTTTCATTAATAATCTTTTGCCAGGAAAATCTTAACTATTTCCACCAATTTCACACTTATCCAGATTTAAGTCTTATATTTATTTCATTTAAATATGTTTCTTTCCCCCATATGAATTTAATTTGCCGCTTCCGTCTATAGATTTAGATTTTTTAGATTTTATTAAATTTATACCCCGCCCTTCTCCCGGAGGACTCAGGGCGGCTTACAGCCAGTTTAAAACAATGATACAATACAAAATTTAAAAAGATTAAAAATAACTATTTAAATTTGGCCGCTTCTACTAAAAATTTAATTTAAAACCCCTTTAAAATACCCCTAGGCCAGTCCTGCCTGCTGAA